GTGTTGAGATTGCGCTGGAACCCCCATTCCCTATACTACTCCCACTGGAGAAACGTTGAGATAATATTTATTCAAGAACAAAATCTAACATGCATATGTGATCCTACTGCCAGGGCTAACCCTTTTAAATTGTTTCTGGAGTCCCTCGAGGAAAAAAAAGCAACAAAATATATACTCGTGCTCAACACCAGAATCAACGAGGGTCATAGACAACAACATAGCACGGCAAGCGTGGTGGGCAGACGACTGAAGTTAATGGCAGGGTCTGTGGCCCCAAACCAAATTAAGGAAGCATTTGTATAACTTACGTCCTGAAAGTTTTCTTCGTCATTTACTTGATTCATAATATTCGTGAAGGCGTCTTCATATATTTTTGCTGCTTCTTTTATTCTGTTTACGTCTTTTTGAAGTTCTTCCCACTTTATGAGAGGGGCAAAGAGACTGTTCTTTCCAAAAATGTCAAAGCCGTCTTTATCCAAAAAAGCAAGTTTTCTTTGGGCATCTGAAGCAAACCAGAACATATATTTTGTTTAATGCTAAGAAAAGCTTAGATAACTAACAAGGTTTTTTTTTTTGTTTTGTTTTGTTTTGTTTTTTTTTGTTTTTGTTTTGTTAATAAGCATGTCATATCTTTAATACAGTCAATTCAAACACGGTGACGTTGACTGGCTCCGGCCTACGCGTATCACCGAAAGGGAATATGGATAAAAATTACTGAAGCGGTTAAATATTCTTTCCGAATTCATTGTTTCCGCTAGAAATATAATGGTTATTATCAAACCATTAAATGTTATGTCTTCGGAAACAAAGGTCGACTCATGATTTTTATTCAATAGTTCAATAAATTCTCACTTTTCAACACTTCGTAAACACTGCTATCTCGCCGTTAAAGGGATCGTTTTGTAAACCCTAGGCATAACCTAGGGCACTAGGACACCGAATGTGGTTGGATTTCTATAGGTTTTTTTTAATTTTCCTTTCGATTATTTGAATTAAATTAAACGTATATACTTGTACTTATCTTGTGTCCGTGTTCCTTCGCTGTCATAATGCAGACGTTTTCTTCCAAAGGTCAAATGGTTTGAATAGGCGATGAGCGTTACTTCTTTAACGGCCGTTCCGTACTTGACTCTGTTTGTACTATACCAACAACAACGCGACCGCGCGATGCTCCTTACGTCAGTAATATCCAACCGTCCAGAGTTAATATGGCTAATCAAATTCACCTTAAGTTCCATATAGAGCCCCGGGGTAGGCTACTAGCCTGCTTGCCATTGTTCTCTCGTCTGCTCGCTTAATCCAATTATTTTGAAAGGTGGGGTGGCAGTGTGTTTACACAGCGATGACAGATGTAGCACCAACGCTACTGTACGAACCACTGCCGAGCCTAGACATTGGGTAACACRATCTCCCTCGGCATTAGTAGTATTTTCGGCACGAGTAACATTTTCGTTTCAATTGCAAAGAAAGTTACTATCTCTCCTTAGAATATTAGAGTCCCATTAGAGGGAAACATAGCCTAGACATTGGGTACTGTTTACGAAATGAAATGTAACTTTTCTACCCCAACTATACAGTTACAATTCAAAAACATTAATAGGACGGTTGGAAATTCGACCAGTAGGTCATCATTTTAGGTCACGCTCACGTTGACTGGACGTGTACAAGTAAGTAAACAAATAAAGATTAGATTGCAATTACGAAATATTGTAAAAAAAATTATTTATGGTAGTTGATGACACAAAAGGGGGAAGTTTCTTTGAGTAAAAATTGTCGCATGAGAGTGGGGATTTTAGTGTGTTAATAGCGTGTTGTCGTTGATCGATGGTACGTAAATCTATATCTCCTGTACTGTGCCGTACTGTGTTAAGTTATAGAGGCCGTAATCTGGTAGTCACGTCTTAGGATTCGAATTACTAGCGTTCGGGTCCGAGTGTGGGCCGAGGGAGATCGTGTTACCCAATGTCTAGGCTATGTTTCCCTCTAATTGAACTCTAATATTCTAAGGAGAGATAGTAACTTTCTTTGCAATTGAAACGAAAATGCTACTCGTGCCGAAAATACTACTAATGCCGAGGGAGATCGTGTTACCCAATGTCTAGGCTCGGCAGTGGTTCGTACAGTAGCGTTGGTGCTGCATCTGTCATCGCTGTGCAAACACACTGCCACCCCACCTTTCAAAATAATTGGATTAAGCGAGCAGACGAGAGAACAATGGCAAGCAGGCTAGTAGCCTACCCCGGGGCTCTATATGGAACTTAAGGTGAATTTGATTAACCATATTAACTCTAGGACGGTTGAATATTACTGACGTAAGGAGCATCGCGCGGTCGCGTTGTTGTTGGTATAGTGAAACAGAGTCAAGTACGGAACGGCCGTTAAAGAAGTAACACTCATAGGCTATTCAAACCCTTTGACCTTTGGAATGAAAACGTCTGCATTATAACAGCGGACGAAGGAACATGGACACGAGATAAGTAAACAAGTATAACGTTGATTTAATTCAAATAATCGAAAGGAAAAAAAAAACCTATAGAAATCCAACCACATTCGGTGTCCTAGTGCCCTTGGATTAACCATATTAACTCTGGACGGTTGGATATTACTGAGGTAAGGAGCATCGCGCGGTCGCGTTGTTGTTGGTATAGTACAAACAGAGTCAAGTACGGAACGGCCGTTAAAGAAGTAACGCTCATCGCCTATTCAAACCATTTGACCTTTGGAAGAAAACGTCTGCATTATGACAGCGAAGGAACACGGACACAAGATAAGTACAAGTATATACGTTTAATTTAATTCAAATAATCGAAAGGAAGAAAAAACCTATAGAAATCCAACCACATTCGGTGTCCTAGTGCCCTTGGCATAACCAGTAATTATGCAGTAAACAGCTTCAGTGATTTCTACCCATATAGTCCGTTTTGGTGCATAGATGTAGGCTTGAATTGTCTGCATTTTGATTTTTCAAATAGTTTTCTCACCTTTCATAATATATTCAACGTCAGTTCTTCCAGTCGTTATCCTGACAAGAAACTGTAATGCGTCTTTGCCCTCCTTATTCTTGCTGTCTCCTAGCAACAAGTCCACTGCCTTCCTCCTTATGAGGAGAAGAAGATTTTCTGGGAAAGCGTTTTTACTTTCTTCGTCGATTGTCTCTGACTTACTTATTGCAGAGTCACTAACGGTGCCATCCTGTCCTTTGACGTTGGGAGCTAAATGAAAAAGTACATTATCTGTATCAGCTTTATATGAACGTGATATTATAACCTAAACAAACTAGTCATTCGAATTGCTCAACTGTCATAAAAAAATGAGCGCAAATAAATGAAAGTTTTTATCAAGAAAGAAAAGAAAAGAAAAGAAAAGAAAAGAAAAGAAAAGAAAAGAAAGAAGAAAAGTAAGATCAAAGAAACAAAAGAAAATGTTTCCCATTAGCGTCTGCACATTCAGTCAGAAAGATCAATGGCCAAAACATTCTGAGTTTTTTCACAAAGGAACAATCAATACTGTTTTGAAAAATAAATCTATGTATGCTAATATCGTAAGATATCTGTGACTGATCGAATACAAGTGTATGAGACGTGCAAGAGTACACGTACTGTTGAGTTATCCGTCTGCGCTAGTAAAAAAATCGACATCTATTTTTTAGGTCTCAAATTTGCATGCAGAACGTAAAAAAGTAACTTATTTGGTCTTATTTATCTTCTATTGTATCATAGACATTCAGTATTGCACAAGGTCAATTTAAAAAAGTATTTTCCACAAAATGTAGTGGCTAAGCAACCGTATTTAAGCATGCTTTACGTTCTGCATCTAATTTGATATCTTGCATCTCATTAGGTATTTGTATAGGTATCTCATTAGGTACCGTACAAACGCAGCCTCAGCGTAAATGTTTTTATCCTGTGTATTTCCGAAGCTTACATTTTAATCAATCGTGAGTCGATTGTCACGCAACAGTGTCACGCAATTTCTAAAGCCAGAGAATTTGATAAACACTTTCCAAATGGTAGGTTTTCGACTTCGTAAATAATTATTTATATATTTCTATTAAAAAAAATTTATTCAAAAGATTTTCATCCTTGGTAATTTGGCCGCCATCTTAGTGCACTACGTAGTTGCACCAAGATGGCGAACCATACATTTCAAACTAAATTATGAGCACATTTGATCATCTATATCTCGGTGCGTATCGGAAGCTTTATACGACTTAAAATTTAAGAAAGATACAAGGTTATGAGTTCTTAATCGAGCGCTAGCGCAGGACCTTTTTTATTCATCTTCAATACAAAAAGCTGCAAAATTTTACGATAACGTTATCGAATACGATCTATACGATATTTTATTGCCATAAACAAATAGTCAAGTGCAACAGGACTGCATTTCCCCTTACTAGTTCCTGAGGCTCCTTTCCGACCATTTGCTCCTCTGATGGTGTCTAATCTGGGGTGTTTCATGTGGCACTCAAATGTTTGCACTTCGCTATCGTACGAGCTCGAACGACGTACGTAGCACTGTATTCCTTTTACTCCAGCGCCACCACTGCCACCTGTAATTTAAACCCATGTCAATTCAAGTTATGAAAACTGCACTTCAATACACTTAAACTTAAACTTTCTCTTCATTATATAAAAACTGAGGTACAATCTTTTACGAGAGACAAGTAATAACTATTTTCACCCATAAAACGAGCACGCTCGGAATGTTATTATGACTTTCTAGGTGTGATTCCTAGGTGAGAAGCATTGCGAGAAAATCCAAGGTTTCGACCTCATTTGCTCAGGTTCGCTGTACCAGTCAGTGCTAGACGGATTTTTGACCCCACCCACCTCCCCTTCGGCGACGTTTCTCCATTATAACAGTTCAGTCCGATAGCCTAATCACAGCCTTGGCAAAACTCGTGTTACCAAAACTTAAAGTGCTACTACGACGAAAATCGCTCAAACTTGGATTCAGCTGAAACTTCCTAAGAATACTCTTTAAAGGTCCAATAATCACTGTATGAAGTGTTTTCTCGATATTCAGGACGAAAGTATGATATTTTAACGATTATTTTTTGGAGTCTTTGACGTCATACACTCAACATCAAACATTGCTACATATATTTCTTTGTATGTAAATCCTTAATTTATTTTATTCCTATGAATCCCAAAGGGTGGCTAATGTGCTTATTTCACATTACTTGTGACTATAATTTATATTTTGGGGTGTTTGGGTATTTCTTTCTCCCTTTACTACTGATATTTTGATCATAAACTACAAAGAAATGTATGGAGCGATGTTCGATGTTGAGTGTATGACGTCACAGACTCCAAAAAATAATCGTAAAAATATCATACTTTTGTCCTGAATATCGAGAAAACACTTCATACAGTGATTATTGGACCTTTAAAGAGTATTCTTAGGAAGTTTCAGCTGAATCCAAGTTTGAGCGATTTTCGTCGTAGTAGCACTTTAAACGCGTGTATGAGGTGAATGGCTGCTTTCGCGGTGAAAATGATATACTATTTATAGAAATGTTTATACTTTCTCCTTCAATCAAAACGCCAGAAAACTGTGCTTTTTTTTATTTTTATTTTTATTTTTATTTATTTTTTGTTCAGTTGGTGGTCAAGCAGTTTTTGATGGGTACGTTTGTATTCAGTCATCGAGTTTCTTTAATGAAATTTTTGTTGGAATCTTCCGGCTTCCAGTAATTTCGCATTTTCGTTCTCTTAGTCTACAGAAGATGTCTCGGCAATCACGTAGCCATTGAAGCTGAGTAAGGAAAAGCGTCGACTCGCTTCAATACTTTTAATCTCAATTCAATGGCGGGAAAACCTAATACGAATTTTTTTTCACTCGGGGAAAAAAATCTTATCATGGCTCTGATGGATTGGCTGTATAATTTTTTCTCTCTAATGAAATCAATCTTATGACCAATCACCATCAAGAAAACATATTTAAGACGAGTAGTATATCATTTTCACCGCCAAAGCAGCCATTCACCTCATACACGCGGTTAAGTTTTGGGAACACGAGTTTTGCCTCCGGCCTGTGCTCTAGCACTAACTGAACTTAATACCACATATCCAACAAATGTAATAAATTGATACATTCATAACCAATATTTATCATGAAGTGATACATTCTCCCAAAACTCAAAAACTCCCCGGTTCCCATAAAACCATTTCTAGTGACTGGAACCGTCTGGCCCAACTAGTGGGCTTTCCCTCCCAGTCGCATGCCATTTCACATGGGTGGCCGCAGAGGGTCAGAACGCATAACTCTATAAACAAACGCAGGTGTAAACAATTGCTGATACTTGTGAAAATGGAACGAGGGAAATGCACCCACTTGCCGTGCCGGACCAGGAACTGTCGGAAGACAGGTTATAGGGGGTTGATTTACACGACCGAACTACCGAAGCACGGTCGACACATGAACGAACAATAAATTTGGCGGAGCTCAGGGTCGCCACACGACCGAACTACCGAAACACGGTCGACACACGACAGAACAATAAATTTAACCTAGCTCAGGGTCGCCACAAGACCGAACTGCCGAAACACGGTCGACACACGACCGAGCAACAAATTTAACCGAGAAGAATTATTTGCAAGACACAGTTTTCTTGAGCTTAAAAGTACCCTCAAAACAAGTGAGAATAGTACAACGGCCGACACAACGGAAGGAGAGCTGAGGAGAACTCTTCATCATCTATGGTCATGGGCGCCATTGGTCACGCAACGCTTTTGCTGTTTTGTGTTGATGGCCGTCACTACACCAAGAATTTAGGATTTGTGAARCGGTAGTGAGTAAATGCTGCACTATCTTCTGAAAAACTCTTAAATTTTGCTTATTATTGATGTCTCAAACGGCTTATAAAAGGTTCTTAAAAATATTATTTTAATTTTGGCAGTCATTTACTTGCTAATTTATGCAAAAACGATCCTTTCAGAAACAACGTATTTAGGCATATTTGGTCAATCGTAGAAACTTAAAAATACATTTACCCAAGAATTTTTTTTTCATTAATCTTGAATAATAATCTTGACATCACATAAAGTGAAAAACTCGCTTTTCCGTTGTATCGGCCATAGTAAAATTCTCACTTGTTTTGAGGGTACTTTTAAGCTCAAGAAAACTGTGTCTTGCAAATAATTCTTAAAGAAATTCCCCTTTACAACTGCATGTCAGAAAATCGTTGTGAGGCATAGAGAGATATCATATTTGAAGTTTATTAGGTTAAAAAGGTCAAGTATTGATTGTATTTTGTACACGAGATCGATGATTCATCTCAATTTCAGAATCGTCAAATTGGCATATTTGCCTGTTTGTATAAACATTCAAATTTCTTCCAAAAAAAAGTGCACAGGGGTTAATGTTATATGATAGGGTATCTAACTTCAAAGTATGAACAAAATCGATTTTTTGACTGTTGCCACCTTATGTCTGATTTTTGCTGAAAGTCGCTCTTAAACCAATCTCCAATTCTAGAGAGTCAGACTGAAAAAGGTTCAAAAGAATAAGAGTTCTTGACTCAGATTCAGATAAGTCTTCAGCGAATTTCAACTATGTAAGCGGCAAGATGTCCAAAGCTTTCTGGTTTCCAGTGCTTCATTCCTTTTGGTTTCCGCCAAGAAACGAAAAAATCTAGGCGAATTCAGCCTTTTCTGGATTGTCGTATTAACCAACATGAAAACAATGGCAGTTGACCGTGCAAGGTCTGGGGAAAAAAATTATATTCCCTGGGACATCCATTCTCGGTTACATCTCTTTAAAACGTTTCCCTGCCATAAAAGCAAGCCATTTGCTAAACAAAAGATTCTGTTTCATTAGTTAGTTTTATCAAGCTGCTGGATTCAAACACTGACTCGACTTACCATTTCCACCTCGTCCATTATTGGCTGCATCGGCTCCAGTTCCCGCGCAGACGTTAGCTTTTACACGCCCGTTCAACATTCTGTAACGCAAAGTAACACTTCCAGCATTCCCACCTTGTCCTGAAGAAATTATTCGCAACCGAACACACATTGATGAGATGAAACACAACAAAACAAAACAAAAAAATCAGAAATCATATCAATATATATAATAATAGTCCCTTTCGCAGTTCCCTGCGCCATCTTAAAAGGTAACCATGCCTTTGCATCGAAGCGAGACGAACGGTGATCTTGCAATGATAGAGAAACCTGAATAATTGTTGAAGTTGTTGATAAAGGTCTCTATTATTGCAAGCTCACCGTTTATCTCGCTTTGATGCAAAGGCTCATATAAATTTCCTTCAAATTTTCTGAACTTTGAGCAAATCATATTTACTGCACGATATAGAGCGATGGTACTTAATCCGTGAAATAAAAACAAAATAGTTATTAACTAATAGTCGCAATTTAGTGCCTGTTTAGTCGATATCACACAAGTGAATCAATCTATATATAAATACACAGGAGACATCAAATACACAAGAAACATGTTAGTCATTGATAGTCATAGCATTGGTGAACAAATGAAGAGGTCATCGAAGGGTATTATCAATAAACTCTATCCTTCTTCGTTTGTTATGAAAGGGCTTTCAAACGAATCCGTCGCGTGTTTTGGTTGCCTTAATAAACCGAAAAAGGGGTACATGAAGCATTATTTTAATAGTAGGGAAAATACTGTGTTAAATTTTCTTTATTGTGATTAACCACCTGATTTATATTTTCCTACCTGGGGTTCCAGCATTTCCTCCTCTTGCTCCATTTCCACCTCTGTTACCATATTCTGAACCTCTATTTCTATTCCTACATCTTTTAGATGCTTCGGCATATAAATCAACACCTCTCATGCTCCATGAAACCCAACCGCCGCGCGGGCACCATTTCCAATCGCTATACTTGTCTCCTTTCTTTAAAAAAAATAGTTTTTTTTGTTGTTATAATTAATGATCGCGTCACATTTTATTAGAGTGTACACCATATATCCGTGAAACAATTATTAATCATTAAGCGATTCAAAGTATTTATTTTTTATCTATTCATTTCAATCTGTTGATCACACAAATATCAGATTGGCTTAATCTCGTACCAGGATCCTACTTTTCTCTGGCATGCGGTGAAAACGAGGGCTATGGCATAATCCATATTTTGAGACCAGGATTTCTTGGACTTCCGGTATAACCGCGCTTGCGTTCAAAAGAATTGCCAAAAATAAAAACAAAAATTTGTTCCCGATTTCTATTGTTAATTTTGATCAGAATTAAACACAAAACTCAGTTTGAAAGCAGGATTTACAGGAAAAAATATTTTTCCGACTTCTAGTTGTTTGTTTTTGTTGTTGTTGTTGTTGTTGTTGTTTTTGTTTGATTTAGTGTAAAATAAAAGCTCAAATAGATAGCTAAATGTATTTAGCTATCCAATTCTAGGTTATTCGATATGTGTATCAACCACTTTTTTTTTCACGTAGTTATACTACGCTACTTTGAAGGTGCGCGCAATATTCAGTGGTCGATATACACCTTTTGCTGTTCATTAACAGAAAATGTACATTCATTTGTGCCAATAGTTGTATCAATAACGTGTAATGTACTTTCATCAACACCACAAGTAACATCATTAGCGCGGATCAACTTTCAATAACGATAATTGAATTACGTGTACATTCATAGGCATCAATGGACAATCAATAGCGCGTTTGTACATTCATATGCGCGGATTGTATTTTCTTGTGCGCGAAATTCAACTTCAATAACACGAATTGACAAACAATTGCATTTATGGACAATCATTTACCCAAAAGTGAAAATTCATTAGTGCTATTAGCATAATCATTGACAATCTATAACGCGTTTGGACAATCATGAGGGTCAACGTTATATTCTATAGCGTGGTTCAACAAACATTTGCATGACTCGAATGAACAATAAGAGAAATAAAACAATCATTAGCGATTT